TTAATTATATTCGAGGCACACGTATCCATATCAGAGCTGTTGGGCTTGTCTCTTTCTATTAGTTTAACAAGCCCTGGTATTAATGAGATTGCTTCATAATTGAACCTTTTCATGGGTCCCTTGGTTAAGAAATTATGCTAATCTGAATTTGCAAACACAAGGCATCCATCATACTTGATGAAACAGTAAACATCAACAGTGATCCACGTGGAGTGCAAATGCACCGTTAATTATTACAGGAACGAACAAGCCTCATTATTTCATCTTTACGTATGTGGGACACATTGCAATGTGCAACCAAGACAGGATGCGCTGGACTTCCACTATGTGGCAGCATGGTCCACTTAACAGAGAGCAAGCTTCTGCATGCTAGGACTGTAGTCCTGATGCACATCGGTGGGAGAACTGAGCAAACATTTCCATATGAAAGGCAGTTTTGTTGGATCAGGTATGTGTACCTGCAAGAGACAAGAATGTCTGGGGTTTGGGGCTGTTGGGTTCTTTTGAATCAGAAGTGGGCAGCTTGCTTTGATTTCCAGATGCTCAATGCCCCATTCTGATGCATGAAATAACCAGATATTTCTGCAGATAGATGCTCTTTTAGCCAGTGCTCACAAGCTCCAAATTTCAACAAACATTTTTGCAGCACTTGAAACTCGCAGTATGCTTCTCATCTGATTTGGAGTGTAGTCACAATCACAGGTCTGCAGTCAGCTCAGGGAATCCTTCCTCTGTCAGAGAGGCCGCAAAATATTGGGAGTTGTCAATTCTTGGAGCAAAGCCCACACATTTGCTGTTGTGGATAAGCATCCATGACAGGCAGCAGGGTTGTGATATTTCTGTCAGATTCTTTGAAAAGCAGCAGCAGCTTAATTGCGCAAGCTGCTGCACAATTAGACCAATTACACATCCAATGAGCAACTGTGACTCTCTGATCTGCACTGCAGTTCTGCATGTGCTATTCTGAATGGGAAACATGATATGCAATTGCAGATAGCAAGGCTATGTATGTAATATGAAACAATGATGTGCACTGTTTGCATGATTACAGAATGGTGACATTCATTTTGCATGGGTAAGTGCCCCTGAAGCAAATGATGCTGATGCACTAAAGGGCAGAAACATCCCAGGATTAAGCCCTACTGGATTCAATGGAACTTACTTCTTAGTTGACATGGTTCGGAGTGCAATGTAGGCCTGATCCGGTGGGACTGTTCTTTCTATCGTGCTCCACGTTTATCTCATAGCATTTTTATCTCACTCTTTGCCCCCTGCAATGGTTCCAAGAGCAACTTACACATAGCATCAATGAAAGAGTTCCCGCCCTCTGGCTTACAAATGGAAAAGAAGAAAAAGAGGGTGGGGGGTGGAGCAAACTCAGGCACTATTTGTAAATTATGGTGTTCTTGCATAGACCTGCTGGATTGGGAAGATTTCAAGGATAAGAGGAGCCCAAAGTTTCTGGTCTTTCAGCTGACAGAATAACTCTGCACCCCCTCCATCTTCTGTACAGTACTCACTTTGAAGAAAGGCACTTTCCCACATGCAAATTTTATCTGAATTGTAAACTGGAAATTAAAATAGGGCTACATCCAAAGCATTAATTTAATTGCATAAAAATGTGCACGAATTATTTCAAATGATAATTTCTCTTTTAAACACCTAACAAATCTCAATGTTCCATTGGTATTGGGGGGAGGGCTTCCTTTCAATACAGGAAGGTATTAGTCCTTTCAATACAGGATCCAGGAGGGCAGACAAATAAGTGATTTCTGCACCCCTCTTCTTCCAGTGACAATAAGGGAACGATACCTCCCATCTCTGTCCCACCCCCCATGCTTCTGGAACATTGCTACATCCCAATTGCTCACAGTTCTAGATTGCCGGGGGGGGGGGGGGGGCTTCCCCTCTTCAGACATGATCCTGAGCAGGACGACACCAGCAGTGAGACAGGAGCAGTTGTGCAACTTTGGGTCTGGGGCAAAATGCTTGGCTTTCAACATGATTGCCTTCTACCTGCAAGTAACAAAGAGATGAGACTCGTTTTAATAAGAAACTCAAACTGCTAGCATGAAGTAGGAACCCCATCAAAGGAAAGAAGTATCCAGCCTGATTTTTCTCAACTTGCCTCTATGTCGCAGATCTGAATGCCTCATTATCGTCCCACATGCTTGATAGATCTAGGAGGGTCCACCTTTTGCCTTGGCACTCCAGCAGATTGTGCCATTTTTTTGTCTCTGATCTGTCCTCTCTCTCCTCCTTTTCTGTTGCACCACACCATGACTTGGAGTTTTCTCTCAAAACTATAGTCCCTTGGGAGCATTAAACCACTTCACATGTGTATTGCAGATGCATAGTTTCACAGAAACAAAAGTGTGATTATTTCCTGATTCTCCTCTCATCAGGAATTATTGTGGTAGACTGCCCAATCGTGGCTCATGGTTATGGTGAATTGCAGTTTGCCATGTGCTCACTGGGCTTAAAAAAAGGAGTAGCCAATGGCTGTGCGAACTAACCCTCAGCCACATTTTCAGAAACTGCATATATATTTATATATATTTATTAACTTTTTCTAATTTACATTTCAAAAAATTCATTTAGACAACCTTAAATCAATTGCTTCCCTTCTTCTCTTTCCGTGGTTCATTTTGCATACCATACATCCCTACATATTTTACAGGAACTAAATGTTCAGTAATCCATTGTTACATCCACCAAAACTTATTTACACTGCTGAATTTATCTTAATTCTACCAGCGTTTTTAAACAAACACAATTTTCACCCATATATTCAGTAAACATTTTCCAGTCTTCTTTAAACGTATGTTCTTCTTGTTCTCTTATTCGATATGTTAAATATGTGCAGAAACTGCAGAGAGTTTTAGAGCAGTAGACTACCTCAGAAAATAGAAGCAGGTCACTTGCGAGTCTCAGGAGCTATGAGATTGCATAGCCACAGGCTATACAAGGTGAACCTATGGAAGAGCGTATTTAGGGGCGTAGTTAATCTGGTCCTCCTAAATGTTAAATGTGTCTGTCAGGATGCTTAAACAGTTATGGGTCTAAAAGAGAGTTGGAAGCCATATAGTGCATAGTTAAACTTTGAAACTTGCTCCCGCAAGAGGCAGTGATGGTCACCAATTGGAGGGCTTTGAAAGAGGATTGGCCAAATTCATAGAGGAGAAGGCTGTTGATAGCTACTAGCTATGATGGCTATGCTCTACCTCCAAGGTTGAAAGCAGTAAGGTAAAGGTAAAGGTACCCCTGCCCGTACAGGCCAGTCGTGACCGACTCTAGGGTTGCGCGCTCATCGCTCAAGAGGCCGGGAGCCGGCGCCGTCTGAAGACACTTCCGGGTCACGTGGCCAGCGTGACGAAGCTGCAGCTGGCGAGCCAGCACCAGTGCCACACATGGAAACGCTGTTTACCTTCCCGCTATAAAGCGGTACCTATTTATCTACTTGCACTTAGGGGTGCTTTCGAACTGCTAGGTGGGCAGGAGCTGGGACCGAACGACGGGAGCTCACCCCGCCGCGGGGATTCGAACTGCTGACCTTACGATCAGCAAGTCCTAGGCACTGAGGTTTTACCCACAGCGCCACCCGCGTCCCTGTTGAAAGCAGTAGTGCTTCTGAATACCAGTTGCTGGAACCCACAGGAGGGAGAGAGCTCTTGTGCTCAGGTCCTGCTTGCTGGTTTTCCAGGATGCTGGACTGCATGGGCCAATAACTCTTCCTGTTTCCTTATGCCATAGCAGGGGAGGGCTTGAGGCTCATTGGCCACTATAAGAAGCCAGATCCAAAACAAGATGGACCTTGGGTGTCTTCCAGCAGGGCTCTTCTTCTTACATTTCTAGTTCATGCAGTAAAGCTTACATCCACGTTTCTTTGCTAATAATGCACATACTACTTCTATAAGATGTAGCAATGTGTTTGAAATATAAACCGGTTGCTGGACAGGATTTCATTATCTATATTCAGTTTGATTACTATGGAGGGGTTGTGCGTGTTGGAGGGGGGTTAGAAGGATAAACTGACATCTAATTAGATTTCATTTTAAAGTCTAGATGCAGCAATTATGACTTCTGAATAAACGTGGTTGTTATTTAGCAGGGTAGCCTAAGCAATGCACATAATTATAATAATTATTGTGTACCTAATGATATCTAATAGGAATCAACATAGCAAATAAAATGCCTGCAAAGTGTTTCGCAGGGTGGCCCCCGCTTTGTGGCAAACAAAATAACAGAAGGTTAATACACTGGCAGCTGATTGTTTTACAAGAACCCCAGGCACTGCTATAGCTGCTGAGATTAGCAGCATTAGGATTCGGTAGACCAAAAAACCATCCCCATCAACTGTGTTGGTCCTGATGTAAAACGGCTGTGTAGAAATTCAATTCAGTTTGCATTTACAGGCTAACCGATCTCACTTGCACTTTGCAGAACAAGATGCAAACTGAAGCACAGCAATCCTTGAAATGCGCACTTCTCTGAACTTTGCAATGCAGTTCGCCAGCCAAGTGATGTGCGCATAGAACTAGGGTGCATAGAAGAGTGCCTATAGGTGCATGTAATAGGGAAAACAGCATACAAAGATAAATTGTATTAGGAGAATTTGTTTTGCAAAAATAAAATAAAAAATAAGCAAAATTGCATGCAAAAATTTACATATTAGGAGAAATTTGCACTAAAATGCTGATGGGCTTTCGTGAGGGTTTTTATAATATAAGATAAAAATGGCAAACTGATGTGCAAATTTGGAGAAAAAATGGGAAGAATGAGAAACCAAAATGGACTCATTTGCCCATCCCAGCTGAGTATTAATATGGTAAATCTGAATCCTCCTTTTATACTCTCCTTCTCATGGTATATACTAGTGTTTTCACCTAGGAGAGCATTTAGCTTTGGAAAATGGGGCCCCTTTTCATAGCAGATGCATAATTGAAAGCTAGCAAATCTAAGGGGGGTATTGTTTAATAAGATTTGGGGGTGCAGGTTGGGTGAGGGCTATAGTTCAGCAGTAGAGCATCTGGTTTGCATGCAGAAGGTCCCCAGTTCAATCCTCAGCACCTCCACATAGGAGTATGAAGGAAGCCCGGTCTGAAACCCTGGAGATTCTCTGCCATTCTGTGTAGATACTGACATAATCAGACCAAAGGTCTGACTCAGCTTCCTATGTCACTATGATATGTATTTTCTTTAAACACACACAAACAAAATGGGGTATTTGGTTGTCTGGTAGAATCTCATCACTAGCCATGTTGCTCTGCCCTGTGCTTGCAATAGCTGAAGGATCGTGTTTTTGTAATTAAAGCACACAGCTGATATAGGTGATGTGCTATAGATTTTAAATAGCATGTGTTTGCAAAGGATGCACCATCTCCCCTCTCTCCCCTCAAAATCCATTGTGTTTTCAATTATCTTTCTCAAATAGACAAACCAGGGAGAGGCTAATCAAGTATTTTATCTTCAAAATGTTTTTAGTCAGGCCACCTTTAGAGAAGTTGAAAGGAAGCAGCAGAAAACTTTCAGCTGATTACAGTACCAAATTACAACACTATTATTATTATTATTATTGTTGTTGTTGTTGTTGTTTTGTTGTTGTTGTTGTTGTTTTGTTGTTGTTGTTGTTGTTAAATGCTAGCCTTTGCCAACCTGGACACTATATCTGAGATTACTGGGAAGACAGATTAAGTGTTAGAGTACTCTGGAAATTGTAGGTCTGTGAAGGTAACAGGGGTCTCCTAACTACTCTTGACATCCTCAACAGACTACAGTTCCCAGGATCCTTTGGGAAAGCCATGTCTGATTAAAGTGCTGCTTTAAATGTATAGTGGAGACAGCACTTTATTCATAGTGGATAAGGCTACTAGTCATGATGCAGATCAATAGCTACTGTCTGCAATGACTATATGCTACCTGTTGGATCAGAGATACCACGCGTCTGAATGCCATTTGCCAGATAGCAACAGGAGACTTTTGTCCTCATACTTGTGGGTTTCCCAGAGGTGTCTGTTTAGCTTCTGTGAAAAACACAACACTGGGCAAGATAGGACTTTGGTTTGTTTACTCTAGTGGTAGCTAATGTGGTGGTCTCCAGCTATTGTTGGACTCCAACTCCCGTCAGTCCCTGCCAGCTTGGCCAGTTGTCAGGGCTGATGGGAGTTGGAGTCCAACAACAGGTTGGTAACCCCTGTTCTAGTTCAGTCCCAAGCACTCTGATTACTAGAAATGTTTGAAAATAGAGGACATCTTTACATTAGCAGCTCAAATTTGGGACACAGTTGTTTATTATTATTATTATTATTATTATTAATCATAACTTTCCTTCCAAAGAAGCCCAGGGTGGCAAACACACAAACAATAAAACTATGGAAACATCTTGAAAACAATTCCACAGCACACTGGGAACGATTTCTACTTGAAAGGTTTGTTAGAAGAGGAAGATCTTCTGTTGGTGCTGAGAAGACAACAGAGGTGGTGCCTATGTAATATTTTAATGGGAAGGAATTTCAAAGTGTGGGTGCTACAACATTAAGACCTGATTCCTGTACTGTGTGGAACAGACTTCCTCATAACGATGGTATCCTCAGGAAGCCCTCTCTTGCAGAGCACAGTGATCAATTGCATATATAAGACATGAGATTATCTTTCAGCTATCCTGACCCCCAGCTGTATCGGTCTTCATACACCCAAACCAGCACCTTGAACTTTACCCAATGCCAATGCCCAGCATTCAAGCTCAGAGCATGCCCAGCTGTACATGGGGTGGCAAGTTGGACCGTCAAAGTTCTCTTGCCTCTTCAGACTTAACTCAGGGGAGGAGGGAATTTCGGTTGCAGCCAAGAGTCTGTATCTGTGCATGCAGAATGCAAGTTTCATTTGCTAGTAAATAAATATAAAGCTGTTTATTCCACAGAACAGATCCCAGCAACACCTCTCTACAAAGGAAGCACGCCAACATCTGCGTCAACATATGGTTGTGGAAATGTGGGAGGCAAGCACAGATAACAATCCTGAAATAAATCATGGCCCAGAATAGAGTTGGAGGCTATTAGATTCCCAACTGGAGGTGCAATTGTCATCTTGACAGCCATCAATCAAATGAATATTATTTTATGACCCTTGGAAATGCGGCAATGACTTTTTGATACCAGAGGCTCTGATGTTTTGCTATTTATTTTACTGAGGTTGGAGGGGGCCTAGAAAATTCTGAAGCCACTTCAGCAAAAAGCATGTGTTTTTTTTTAAAAAATAAATTAAATTAAAAAATCACAATGACAAATAGAATTCATCTTTAAGAAATTTGAGTCGAAAGCACGTGTTGAAATGGAGTCAGATTTTTTTTCTGCAGAGTGAAGACCTACAATTGACACATGCCAAATTTCACGTCCATTTTGCCAGCTCTCTCTCCTATCCATCAATTAACACATTGCATCTATAAAACAGAGGCGTTTAATGTCCATTTGATATGCAAAGGAGTTGCCTCCATGCCTGTTACAAGCTGAATGCTTTGCCTTAAAGTCCATAGCGGTGAATTTTCACACATACTGTAAAAACAAGGGGTATATTTGTGAGTTATGTTATCAGCTGATCAAAATAAGCTCAACTGGCAGTGAAGAAAAAAATGTACCCTAAGGGTTCACAACAAAAGACACATTATTGTGTGTTTTAAAGCTGTGCAGAACACCAGCCTCATTATATTAAGCATTAAGGCCTAGCCTAATGTTACCAAGCCATGGCTTGACCAAAGTTTTGGGTTGGGTGTTTTGGGAAGATTATGTTTTGGGTGGAAGAATTCTTATGCTTGCCATATTTCAAAAACCAAAGTTGTTAAGGTTTTTATTATTAAATATTGTCTTTCTTTCTTTCTTTCTTTCTTTCTTATATCTTGCAAGTAGCAATAATTGAATAAGTTACGTTTCATCTTTCTGGGGCTGGCTAGGCACTAGACAGCTAGCGTATTTCAGTTCTGCATGGTTGGGCTGTTATGGGCTCCTTTCCAAAGGGTGAGATTTTAGATTTAAATTTAGATTTAGATTTTCAGAGTTGGAAGGGACCCTTAGGATCATCTCATCCAACCCCCTGCAATGCAGGAATCTTTCACGCAACACATGGGACTCAAACCCACAACCCTGAGATTAAGAGCCTCATGCTGAGCTATCCTGAGAGAGAGAGAGAGAGAGAGAGAGAGAGAGAGAGAGAGAGAGCTTAATGCACCCACCCACCCCCACCCACCCACCCACACACCTCCCTGCTCAGAATTCCTTTCCCAACAAATGTGGAGCAATTCAACCCAACCTCAGAGTGAGACCCCAGCATTCTGTAGAAGAAATAGCAATGGCAAGTTCACATTTCCTTCACACAGATGGAAAGAGGCATTTCTTTTACCTGCCTTGGTTTGTTTGTTTTTTATAAAAATAAAATAAACTTAATATTTAGGGTTGCCATATTCCAAAAAGTGAAAACCAGGAAGACCCCAAAATTGTTGAGCCTTTTTAAAGAAAACCACCGAAATTGTTGAGATACTTATGTATTTTTTTTGCACAATCCCCAGAGGCACCTTAAGCCACCCAAGCCTTGCTTTAGGCCCCTTCTGTGCAGACACCTGTGCCCATGAACTAGGAGCAACTTCCCTTCCACCTTCCCAAAGCCTGCCTGGTTTTGAGAAGGCAGCCTAAGGGCTCTTGCAATGACATAGCTCGGTGCTATGCACCTGGAGAGGCTGTGCCAGGCTCGGGCAGGCAGTAGTTGTGTCCACACTCCCCACGTCTTTCTAAGTTCTCCACTGCACAGCTAGCAAAGGCCTTGCTCTTGGCAGGAGAGGAAGTGACCGCTTGCTTCCCCTTCCAGGGCACAGCTTTTTGTGCTCCCAAACCTCTGGACATATTGGCTTTAAAAAAAAAATCCCTCCCCGACGCTATTTTCGTCATTTGAATCCCAGACGTATCAGGGAAAATCTGGACATAGGGCAACCCTAGGAATAGTGACACTGTCAAATGTTGTTCATTGATGTGTCACAACATAGGATATAGGATATTTTGTTTTTAAATAAATGTTTGATGCTTTGTTGTGTTTTCATATATGTTGTAAGCCACACTGAGTGGCTGGGGAAACCCAGCAAAATGGGTAGGAAATAAATTTAAAAATTGTCGTTGTTGTTGTTATGCTCATTGGTGAGAATGAAATTTAGTGCAAGATGGTGGTATATTGATCAAAAAGCCACCAGTCCGTAACAGGTATTGCAGTGCAAAAGGAACATTAGAAAACAGGACAGAAGCTCTAGCATTATAGTCAGGCAAACAGCACAATATTCCCCACGTCTAGGTGCCTTCCTTATAAACCAGGAGGTCTAGGAGTGCTGTTGCTGTTACAAAGTGGCCACAAGACACTGTTGCAATTAAGTCATCCTCATTTGCTTTGCCATTGCATCTTCCTTTATGTTGCTGATGTAATCAAGACATGCTGTAGTAAACAAAAAGAAGAGATTTCACCATGTTCCTTGGTAACTTGTTAAGAATCACGGTTTGCTTGAGCACCGTTTATTTCGAGGAGACAGCTTTGACATCTTTACATGACAGAAGACAAGGGACTGAGTGGAATCAAAATTGCCCATGGATATGTTTTCAAACTGCAATTTGGAAACCCGGCAATTGTAACTTACAAATGTAGCAAGTGCTGGAAGACTTGTGCCTCTGATTTCTCAGCAGAATGTGTTTTCCCACTGAAAAAGGGTAGTTTGAATGGTGGTGTTTTTAAAAATTTGACTTCAGTCTTGAGGGTCAATTTCATGTCATTATATTGATAGGCTGCAATGAAACCCAGCCCAATACAATGGGAATTATTCTACTCAGCATCAAATTACAGCAGAAATATTGTGGCTGCAGGCACACCATACCTTTAAAGCACACACTCCTACAAAGAATCCCAGGAATTGTCATTTGTCAAGAGTGCTGGGAATTGTAGTCCTGTGAGGGTAAACTGCAATTCCCAGGATTCTTGTATGAAGTAGGGAAATGAGATTTAAATGGATGGTACGTACTCAGCCTAAATCTTTTTTCGCTGGCAGGAAGAAGT